AAAAAGTTTCTAAACTCGTCGGAGGTCGCGCGCTTCTCCTTTGACATGCGATCTTCGTATCGCTTGCAAAAGTCTTGAGCGGTCATCTCTGAGGTACTACCGCCAAAAAATCTCCCAATTCTGGTACATCAAACTCACTTCGCGGTGCTGTGCGAAGCGAGGGAAAGCTGCTTCAGCATCTTGGAAACATTCAAAGGTATTGGAGATCCGCAAAGTCGATGTATGCGCGTTCAGAGCACGACCTTGTTTGAGGAAAGTACCGAGTTCTTGAGCAGAGGTGGAAACCCAATGGTTGCGAGAGAGGTTCGAGGCGCTATCTAGGGAAGCCGGTTTCTCGCCGATGTCATGTGGCTGATCTGCTGCAAAGCTTTGTAGAGCTGGAAATACTGCTCGCAGCATATCGATCCCAGTCTTCCAATGAGCGAGATTCTCGCCTTCGCGATCGGTGTAAGGGGCGCACAGTAGTTGTCGGAGCACACCTTGGAGAAACTGGCGGTCATAAGAGATGGACTCTGGGACGCTGGACTCGGCAGCCCTTCGCTCAGGTAGAGGTCTGTCGTTGGGATCGCAGGAACACGTATTGTGTTCGGTCTCGTCTTCGCCGACGGATGCTCCATGTAGCTGCTTTCCCTTACAGTTTGCGCAAAGCTTCGTCCCGGCCAAGCCGCCTTGTTTCTTGCTCTTTTCTTTCCGCTTGGCATCCCTCTTGCACTCCGTACACGCCCGGCCATACCCGGTATGGCAGGCCTCGTTCCTCCAACATGTAGAGCACAAGTAGTAGCTGCATAAGTAACATGACGTCGTAGTCGCTTTAGATGGGGCTCGCTCGTGACGTGAGCATTGCCCAGGAGTCCAGTAGTGATCCCTGCACATCTCACAGCTTTCTCTCGTTTTGATGGATGGAGGTTCCTCGTGTGATGGACAAACGGTCCACAAATACTTCTCGCAACGACCGCAGTGTTTCGTAGTCGCAACTGACGGCTTCTCGTCATGGCAGGGGCACTTTTCGTAATGCCATTCAGGAAGACGAACACGTTTCGTTGGCCGCTCTGCCGACTGACTAGACATGGTAGGAGTGCAACGGATGACAATAAGACGGTGCTTCGCTCGAAGCACTGTAGCAAGCCTTGGGGTTGTCGCAAACATTAGCACAGACCACAAGCCAATCAGGTAACACCAACGAGCAAAATGCCAGACAATCCCTTGAAATCGCTGTAACTACCGAAGGATACCAAAAATGCAAGTAAAACACCTCGCATTCAATTGGCGCACTGACCTAATGAAACCGAGTCTGCCCTGCATATCGTTTCGCACATGAGTCGCCGCAAATTCTTGCCACCTTTACGGAAGACAACCGAGTTGTTGCGAGCGGCACCTGGGCAGACACTCGACTATCTCGGTCCTCTGACATCGAGTGTTTGAGCAGGCTACCCTATCAGCTTCGCTTTATCGCATCACGAGCGACCCCACGTGCTGTGCGAGGGGCATCATGCGCGAGTGGAAGCGAGCGACAAACAAAACATGCACTACTTCAACAATTCGGTCTTCACGCGGGCAATGAGACTTCAGTACGAACTAGCACGCGCTGTGGGCTTGTTATGACTCCCTCTATTACCTGAATAGAGCGAATGACGTCTTGGGGTACAGTTCATCATACTTGCGATCTCTCTCATCCGTGAGAGAAAGGATAGAGTGCGCCTTTAACTCAGACTTCGGTCTAGTCCTAGGTTGGGCTTGGTCTAAGAGTATCTTGCGATCTATATCGTTGATCCAAAAAGGTCAAACAACAAGGTCGGATGCAGAAGTCTAGTCAGGACGCGGTGTCAAACAGCATGGGGGTTCTTGGATTGAGAGGGCGTTGATCTTGATCACGGTGTATGTGCTCTTCGAATCGCACTTTTTTCCTCAAATTGGACTCTGGAAGCGAACACTGGGCGACGTAGCTCTTTGACATCCAGTCAAATCCGCACATGCTTGCCACCTCAACGGTTAAGTCTTTAGTTGCACCAAAAGATCTTCCCAGCCGGGAGTTCATCGTCCCAGGATCGTATGCACTTGGCTTGACTTCACAAGACCTACTCTCCACAACTCCCATGCATTTCCCCTCTTGACCGCCCTTCTCAATCTACCTAGGAGATCCTCAGTATCCGGATCTTGCGCGCTGGTTCTCGAGTCCTGTCATGTCGCGCCTGCAACAGGATTCTCGCATCTAATGTAAGCCTTGTTGGTTGCTTATGTACTACATGGCATGGAGCGAATGGGTCCAGCTGTTATGTTGTATTGGCTGGGACTGACAAGACAGCCTCGAAATTGGAAACTCAAGAAAAGGTTCAACGCGATATCAAGTCTAGGCCAACATATTCCACGATCTGCCGCGGTATGCAGACATCAGTGTTCATCTACATTTCCCTGATTTCTACGTCGTTCTCCGACCCATGTGCACATTTTCGGTCCACCAGTGAGTAAAGACGTGTGAGAATTCCTTTTGAGTGATGACAAAGTACGTGCACGCTCATTCTCTGGCCTTGTGAGGTAGTATGCTATTGTAACACAACTCTATACGAGAACTTTATCTAACTGCTGGGCTGATCAACAGGCGCTCTCGTCCTGCTTCGCATGTTTCGTGCACCAGGGCGGGAGAACAACGAAATGTGATCAATCCTGCACGTTTCGGAGGGCGATGCAACGCGCACGGTAACTGGCGAAGTGTAGTGTACCCGCAGCTGCGCCTAGCCCATTCATGTCGCCGGTTCGTGCCGGGCCGCGTTGGAACGACGCCATCCCCCCCGAATCCAACGCAAGCTCCAGAATTAGCGACGACCCCATCGCCATGGTCGTCAATGTGCATTCACTCACCCTTCGCAGCCTCGTATGTCTGCTTGTGCACCAACAGGATTGCGATGGCCAGAGGGTCCTGAACTCGCGCGCCGCCCCCAGCCAGGACCCCCCACCCGACCGCGCACACGACCCAATACACCAACGAACGCATACTCAGCCGACCGACTGCTGTCACATACAACCCGCCGCTTTGCCCGCATTCACATCACACGCCGCTGCGTGCTTATATGCCAACACGAGTATCCCTACATGCCCGTCCGTATCCCCGCAGCCAGCTCTCGATGGCGACGGTTATTCTCCTGGGTCAGAAAGTTATTCCACTAGGTAGATCTACCACAACACAACAACACAACAAGATTAAAAAATTCTAAAAAGCTAGTTTTGTAGAGCTCTCTTCTTTCTACAACTCTGCCTTTTTAGATTTTTTATTCTCTTCTTTAAAGCTTAGAATCTTAGAAGAAAGACGCACCTTGCTTAGTAAGAGTCTTAGCAAGAATATTAATCTCTCTTTTTCTTTCTTTCTTATATATCTTTACATTAAGAAGAGATTAGAAAAATCTAAAATAGTAGAATTATAGAGAAAAGAGAGCTCTATAACTCTGCCTTTTAAAATTTCTTTTATTTCCTTTTATTATTGTGTTGTGTAGATATCTAGCCTAAAGATCTGCCTAGTGGAATAACTTTTTAACCCAGCTCAATAACCTTTGCCCTCTCGATTGCCGCACCCGACAAAGACTACATGATACCTCCGCTTCAAGCACTGCGACGCACGGTATGCCCTCATCACGACCACGATATGAGCACGACCATGTCATGCCCCATCTTTGTGCATATCACGGGAGCCGTGGCAGGATGGGTGCAAAGCCTGTAGGTGAAGCAGAGTCTGGGCAGCTCATCAGACATCTGGAGAGAGTTCGTGACGCTTGGGAAGCGGGGTGTCTGGCTTGAAAGGTGTGCTCTCGTTCCGGACAGCGCTCTCAAACGACGTCGGCTGGATGCGCAAGTAACGATGGGGCGCGCGGTAAGCTCTTCGTCCCGTCGCAGGACTGTTTGTTCAAAAGCCAACCACCACGTCCTAGTGCTGCTTAATGCAGCAAACCCCTTTCTTTTTTACGCTTCAAGTATGCTAGCAAGGCAAAGTCGACTCTGTTCATATGGAGGCACGGAGGAGATATCTACGGTTTGCGTGTCGACACGCTGTCGCCGACCGCGACACAGGGTCCTCGATACATGTCGTGTAACATCTGTCGTGTATGATGCTGGCCTATGTGCAGTCGCTTTTGTACGCGCACTGGAGAGCTCACCAACCGCTGATGGCGATGACTAAGATCCTAGTACCTTCTCAGTCCCTATCAGTGAAGCATTCGTGAATTCGTGGCGTTATGACTCTTTGATCCGATCAGCTCCTTCCTCCGATTGGCGTCGCCTTCCATCGAGCCACTCTTGTGATACTATCGCGTCTTCTGTCGTGCAAGCGCAGAACTCGATTCAGGTTCTTGTCGTTGCTCCAGTACTCTCCTGGAACGTAGGCTCTCTGTCGAATTTCTCCCTCTAGCTCAAGATCTCCTTCAGTCTATGCATCTACTTCTTTGTCACCAATTATAAAGACTTGTCTATGAGTAGAGCGTAAACAATATGATGGCGTTGATCAACATCGTCTCCACTGCCGTTACCGATAAGCATGTGACAGCTCAGCCTTCACATCTTGGTAACGGGGCAAAGATCGTGCCAGGCTCACATCTAAATGTCATGAGCAATTTATCGTTGAAGAGGAGACTTGTTCGTAGAAGTCGGTGTCGCAATGACTCCCGCAACACACCCGAGATACACGATGACTGAATCCGCCGTTTAAATAATGGAAGGGATGAGAAAGAGGTTGTCACTTGATGCGCACGTCATGGACTGCGTTGTGGAAGTCACCCATCGTATTTGGACACCGCGATATCATATGAAAGTTAAACTTCTGTGACAATCCCGTCATGGTATCAGGTACCTCATGATCCGCGAGTCGCGCCTTTTGAGCTCAAGTCGAACTCTGGGTATCGTGTAACAGAAAGAAGCGTGTGCCAGGCCGCCTTGATGACGAGCCAGTAGGGTGATAAGCGTGATTATCACCCACGCGCGAGAGGCTGTACGCCCGACCCAGAGGGTCCAACCACCCTTCAGCTCTTTCTGATCTCGCCAATCTGTATGTTGCCAGGACCATCGCGCCTCCGCTTCTTGAGAGGGGGTGAGCCACGTGCAGGGGGCGGTGAAGTGGCAATCGTGGCGCTGGGGCTGCCATGCTCGCTGAGATTCTCATCGACATGGCTGAGGATATCAGAATCGCCCTGGTCCTTGTTGTTCCCATCGGTGCCGACATCCTTAGAATCAGAAGTGTTGGAATCACTATCCGCATCGCTCAGTTCCGAGGATTTATACTCCAGCCTCCTTTCAGAACGCATCTTGTCGCTATACTCGTCTACGATGCGTGAACAATTTTCTGCGTCTGAGAAGATGTCGTGAAGCTCTTGGTGCGTAACGTCCAGCTGTAGAGTATGAAGATCGACTGTATCTGGCTGCGCAGAATCGGCTACAAAGTCGGCTACAGAGAACGGGATTTTGGCGTTTGGCGAGATGACACCATTAGCATCTCGGAACTTGACACGAGTGCCGGCGTCTATAACCGCCAGGTTCTTGTCCTTGACACGGAAACGAAACACTTGATAGGTGGCCCAGTGAGGCTGTTCGCGCAACACGCGTTGTTGCTCAGGCGTACGATGTTCAAACTCAATCCCGACGAATGTCTTAGTATTGCCTGCAACTCGGCGTTTGATGTCAGTGTATATCCCACACGTAGTTTACAAGCGATGTCACTTACCCTTCCTGCGAGCTATATAATCATGCGCTGCTCGTCTGAGATCCATGTGACCATGCGAAATCTCAATGACGAATCCTGGAAGATTCTTGTGTGCGTAGTTGAAAGAGATACAAGGCGTGCGAAGGGTCTGAGGGCGAATATGTGTGTGAATCCGGCCGAAAAAGTTGATATCGTTGAGGATCGAGCATGCGAGCGTTCTATAATCTGGATCAAGTATGCTTACACCCAGTTCCACGTCTTTCTTCACACCGTCCAATTTCTCACACAGCCGGGAACCAAGGTTTCCCTTGACCAACTCGTAAACCGCGTAACCGCGCATTTTGATGGTAAGAGATCTTGTGCGGTCATCGTAGTTGTAGTAGACTTTGTCGCCTGCCCAACCAGCAGTGTCCCGGTTCAGGTTCTTGCTCTCCACTCCTGGTTCGAACAGCTCATTCTCCAGTGAAGGCCAGTCTCGACGTCGAACTGCGACGGCGAACTTATGATCCCCGTACTTGACCGATTCTTTGCCGTCGTGAAGTCCCTGGATGAAGTCGTAAATCTCATGGTATCTCGGTTTGGGCAAGAGGTGTGGCACCGGTAGCGTCGGGGTGTGTGAGGAGGGTTGATCGAGGGGCCGGTTGGATGCAGAGGAAGGTAACAGCTGCTCGCTGCTCGCCATAGACCCTGTCACGCGCATGGCGGAGAGTGTCGCGGAGTCAAGGTTCAGTTCGCAATCGCAGATTGTGTAGTCGGTGGCTTGGGAATAGCAGCACTCCCAGTTCCGGTGCTAGGCAACAGCGCCGCGCCCTGTCGGTGGGCTAGCGCGCCCGCGAGGCCCTCTAGGGCTAACCCCGGTTGACGGGCAGCGAATGTAATGTGTGAGCCTCAGGAAGCCATTTGGAGGCAAGTGAGATTAATCAGAAGCCAGTTCACACAGTCACGGAGAAAACTACAGCGACGCAAAGGAGAGAAATGAAGAGTAGTGAGATGTATGTAGAAGAGGATGGGAGGGTTCAGCGCGTTCGAGAGCTCTAGGGCTGTTCTTGCAGCTGCACCAGCTGCAAAAGATTGTGGCACGGCGCGGATCCATGCAATTGACGGCTTCGAGCCCGTAGCATTACAGATTCCAGTTGCAGGAGGCAACAGATGAGCTCCTAGATCCTTCAACGTTCGGCTGGACTTGTGTTATCATCGCGCCATATAGTGGGGCCGCCACTGTCGCAATGAGCCTGAGCTGCCGCCATGCGACGACAAGCTGTAGATGTGGAGGGATGAGCCCGACCATGGTGCAATAAGCTGTCGGCTACCCCAGAGAGAAAATGGCTCGTCTGACGACCATGTTGCTAGCTAGCCTTTTCGCGAACAGAACCACGACGCTCGGTTGCTGGAGCTCCACGAAGGCCTTCTGCCGTGTCATCGGCTACAGAGCCTGGCGCTGCTCGAGCTTTGATGATGATGTAATCCAACTAGCTACCGCCGGATCCGGTGTGAAGTGGAACACACGATCTGGTGTTGCCGTAGAAGTTTGGGTCCAAGCAGGCTCGTGCTCATTGTTCGCGGCTCGGTGAGATTGGTTGAGGCGAGTGGCGGAGTGACATGTCGTGCTTGGTTCCACGCATAGACTCACAAGAGAAAGCGAGATCGCGTTCCGCTAGCCGGTGCTTGCTAGTACTTCGCAAAGACTTTTCAGGGTATCCTCATAGCCCTGCTGTCATCTGTGACCGCCAACGAGCTGGAACGACGCGCCTGGACACGGGGCCGTTGTAGTGCGACAACCGTATTCAAGAGCTGGCATAGGGTCCACTCGGACCGGGGCCGCTGGAATCTCGGCAAGGCCTTCCTGCTGCTCATGCCAGTCGAGGTTGTGACCAGATATTCACCACGGCGCGACTCGCTCATGATGTGTCTGGAGTGTGGGCGATAAGGAGACGTGCGTTGAATGGTGAAGCGATGGGGCGGGGGTATCGCGAAGTGGTGCTGGAGACGGAGTGGTGCTCAAGGCTGGAGAGGTCAGCATCCCGTTCGAGAGCATTCGTGGTGAGACGTACGCCGGGCCGCTCGATGCCTCTGGCGATGTTCTCGCGCACCTATCGAGCTGCAATGTCCAGGGCGACCGTGTTGCTGAAGGAGTCGCTCACTCTCGAGGCTCAGATGCAGGTCATTCGTGTCTTTCAGAATCCAACACTATGATTGCTGCGGCACAGGTGCTGGCTATGCGTTAATCGCGAGACCGGTGTTTGGTTGCTTCACCTGTGACAGTCCCCCTAGATCGCGTCCACGCAATGGCAGGGTCTAGACGCGTAAAAGGTATGGCCCCGGGCTCCTCCCTCTCCATGTTCCCGTGTTCCCCCGTTGGGCTGGCGGCGGCGAATGTGTTTCGTGCGCGAGTCGGCGTCCCGGGGATGTGCGGAAAGGAGGGCGGTGTTATGTACATGGTCGCGACCGACACATGCTGCTGATACGGTCGCGAGTTTGAGCTTGAGCTGTCGCATGTGTCGTCGGACTGTTTGCAGGAGCACACAGTAGCCCCGACACCCTTGTGGCTGGCCAGTCGGGCAGAGCAACAGCGTCAGATCCATGCCTCCTCACCGGTAATGTCCGCTAGCAATGCTGCCCTGTTCCATGATGTGCTTCGACCCTGGGCGCGTGAAGAGCGATAGCAACAATGAAGGCTGCTCCGTTGGTGGGGGCGATGCGCCGGAAAGCCTTCAAGCCGCCGACATTGTGCGTGTTTGTCTGGTTCATTGGGACTCGTTGTGAATGGCTTGGTGAGAGTGGCAGAGTCAGTGTACATCAGGCCGCGTTCTGGGTACACAGTCATCCGCTACCGTGAGGCTTTAGTCAAGACCTGTAGCTGAGCGACCGATCGAGTAGCTCCACGCCAAAGGCTCGTGGCCAACTGGGCGTCATCAACTCCATGTTGCGATGGATGAAGGCCAATATACCGGAAAGAGTGGTCGGGCGACCCGAAGTTATCGCAGTGGACCGCCATGCCGTAGCAGCGGATGTCTGACGGGCTACGAGAGCGACCGTGTGTCTGAGCCGTCCATCTCGTCGCAGACACGAATGTGCACCGTCGGGTGTTCTCGATGTTGTCAATAACGCGAAGTGGCGTGGTCTTTCGCGAGGGGTAGCGTGGACTCTAGGACATGCCGTGCGCTGGTGGGCATGCTTGGGGTCTTCGGAGCGACGCGCCCTCTGAATAGGACGGGAATGACGCTAGGTATATCAAGGGAAACAAGCCTGTGTGCTGTGAGACTAAAGAGGAAGTAGCGTTGTGTCTTGCGATGCGCCGGGGTGATTCAAGCTACCGGAGCGCGTCGTTGCCCGCCCAGGTCTGAAGCGTCCCTTCCGGAGGCATACAAACCATTGAAGTGGCTCCCGCTTCGGCCCATAACGGCAGACGCGACGGCGTGTCGGACCCAAGCGAGCTGGCCACGTCTTTCACTAATAGCGAAGCGTGGTGCATGTCCCGGTTTATACAAGCATGTCCACTTCGGACGAGATATGGCGCCTGCGACGCGTTGATCAGCGGCTGCCGTCGCCCGTAGTTGATGGAATGGTGGTCGTGACGTGCGTGGTGGAAGGGCTAGCCGATGATCGTCGCGTCTGATGGTTCATCGCGCAAGCCGGACAAGACGAGCAGCGCGATTTCTGCAGAAGATGTGGAGGGTGACGTTGGTGGTGATGCGTCGTGATCTAATGTTGGTGGTGTCGTCGCGGAGGACCGAGGGGCACCCAAGGAGCGCGACCTCGGGAGTGCCTGCATTAGCGTACCCCGCAATGAGCGCGACGTACAGTGTGCGTGGGCCGTCTAACATTGAGAGCTCCGCGTGTGATTTAGCGGCTCGGTCAATGTGGTGTTGCGTTCCCGATTACTCACGGCCTATGATGTAGCCTGGATCGCCATACTCTCGCAATCGCACCGATGAGGCTATGCCTTCACTTTTCTGCCAGTCTGCTCATGGTGGCGGAGAGGATCCGTAAGTGAAACCAGCGATCCCGGTGATGGATACAGAAGCCTCGCCTACTATGCCAGACGTGTACAAACCGACGCCAGAGTCGAGACTCTTCGATGAAGGGATCAGCCTTGCCGATTCGCAATCAGAAGCCATGGACTTCGTAGAACGCAATACGAGAAGGTACAATATCGACGTTGCACACCTGGACAAGGAACCGCAACGCGAATTAGCAAGGACGACTCTGTCGTCATGCCGTACAGAGAGCGACTGGCTTACCGAGTTGGCCGGAAGCGTCGCAGGTCATGCTACATGAAGACGTTTTCACTGTTCCAGACAACTACGCTGTGCTTACTGCATCGTAATCACAAGGTCGCTATCGGCGCAAGCATTGGTGTTGATGAATGGGCTGGACCGCAGTCTGAGTCAAAGGCGCACTCTATTTTTTCTGGTGTTGATGAGCAATATTGTCGTGCACACGGTGCCCCGCGCCACGACGTTAGATGTCCGCGCCAAGACGCTAGATGGAACGGAGAGTAGCGCATCATGATCTCGACCTCGGGAACACGAAACCTTCCCCGGGCAGAAACATGGGGGAACCGTTCACATTGCGAGACCACATGCTGCTATGGCCTGAGAAGCGGCTTCATGCTGCGCAGAGCGTTAACAACGTAGCGAGATGCGGACGTGCAGTGTCGAGAAGACGTTGGCAGTCGATGTAGGTTGCAGCGCAGCCGGACGGCCACCAGAGAGCTCCCCGGGGCCGTAGCACCGATCCTGAAGAAGGAAGGAAGGAGCGACCATGCCATCATGTCATCAACCCCAACTTCCAATCTGAAGGACGACAAGATCGTGACAATCGATAGCACTTCAAGTTCAATTCAAACTCACTCACTCAAACTCACTCAACTCTACATGCCAGATATCATCCCAAGAATGTCTCCCAACACCAACACCAACATTTCGCGAGCTACAGTAGAGGCCGATGTGCACAAATCCAGGCACAGAGAAGACGATGTTAACCAGAGACCCAGTTCGAGAGACGCAGAAGAGAAGTTTCTTGCGAACTATTGTCCTAGCACAAAATCGCAACACAGCACGAGATCGCACAGGCACAAGATAGCTACTATGCAGATACACAAAGTGCATTAGATTTGGGTATAACAACATCAAACACCTCCGTATGCATATAGGTGCTTGTTATAAGAATTACGTTGACTATAACGCTGTAAGTTTTTATATTATTATAAGTTCTACCAGACTTTAGGGTAACAATTGCAGAGATGTCAACGTTAATTGCCTGCAAGTTACAGGCGACAGATGTAGAAGGTGCGAGTCGTTAGGCATGCCATGCGTATGCTTTTACCAGGACGATTATCAGCTACTGCTAAACAGAACCCCAACTACACATGTCCCACGCGCCGCAAAGTATGTGTTTATCGATAGACTACCTAAAAGGTTCGGTCGCTGTCCACTAGACCAGATACGCCTTCTACCGACATGATATGTACTTCAACAGAACTCCGACTTGTCACCCACGGATCTAGCAAGACCGCAGAAACCGTGACGATCATCCTCCACTAGCCCACCTGCGCCTGTACGTCACTACCATCACCGCCGTGGCCGGTCCAGCGTCGAATTCCGGGAGAGAGTGTCGATGCCTACAATAGGTCACTATACGACGAAGTAAAACCAAACCATTGCGATGCAGAAGACTGGCTGAATATGCGACAGACAC